GAGGATACAAATACTATTATTAGTACAATGAAACATACAATGAGTTAGTTCACTCATGAGTCAGTTCGAGTAGTACTCACAGTACATTACTATACATGCTAGATAGAGAAAACATACATTACAGCTAGTACACACTGTACATCAAAATACATGCTAGATAGAGAGAACATACATTACAGCTAGCACACGCAGAACATTTCAGTACACACAGGCTAGATAAAGAAAGATTACACTTTCAGTTAGCACATTCATTCATATACATTTACGCAGTTATGTGAACCATTGAGCGGGTCATGGCACTTCCTGCCACGACCATTCTTGTATCCCGAATCTCCTTAGTTGGGGAGCGTATGAGTTTGCAAGTCTACGGGTGCCGAATGTCATGGGACTTGCAAGTCTACGGTTGCCAAATGTCACTTCCTACACTTCCTGCCACGACCATTCTCGCTACAATGGGACTTGCAAGTCTACGGGTGCCAAATGTCATTTCTTACGGCATGTTACATCGTCGTTTTACTAGAGTCGGTAGCAGGATACAAGTCGATCACATGTTACTTGGAACACCTTCTGTTTTAAGGTAGTTAGTACCACAGTAGTCACTTATTACAAATACTGCAGTACGATAATATTTTCCCATTACATTCACTTCGTGAATATTCACACGATGCTTGGTAATGTAGTAACTATATTTTTGGTTAATGATAGTAAGAATTGGGAAACACACACTCTAACAAGAGACATACACACGAACACGAGATGCCTTGGTAGAAGGCTACAGTTAGTAGGAAACATAGGGTTTTCTAGGAGAGTTCAAACATTATACAAAACATTCAAAACATCTTTCAAACATTTTCATACAAACTCAGACATTAATATACTTATGATCTCACCAGCATTAAGCTGATACTCTCTTTCAAAATAACTTGTATTCTTAGGTCACCACTAAACAGGTACAGTTGCTAGGCTTTTGAGAAGATGGAGTTCGTTCAAGACTCATCTTTTATTTTGATATGTATATTTTTGGTGTCTATAACTTTGACAGAACACACATGTATGAAATTATTTTATTAATGCAATGGATGATGTTGTTGCTTCTTTACTACTATTCATTGTTGTGATACTGTACATGACGTCCTCTGCCCCAGAATGTTTCCGCCATTCATGGTTTTGGGGTGTGACACTAAAGGGTGTGCAACATGAGAGACCGCACAGCTCATTGAAACAAATAAATTATACATTTTGTTTATATCAATGAAAAATATAAAAAAAAAAATGAAATTGAAGTGTGGTGTGTTGTATTCCTAGTTAGTTTCATTGATGTCCATTAGTATAAAAATGATCTACAGACACACCATGAAAGTGTGGCAATATGGATATAGCGACGTTTTGTTTTTTCACTGAATGTGTGATGGGAGGTGATGTCATGGTATGCGTCTTATGGTCACTTTAAAATTTAGTGTGTGTATGATATGAAATAATGTGTACATATTATAAAAGTTTGGCTATTGGGTAGGGAATTTTGTTGGTATAATCAATCATATTATCCAATATTGTGGCGTTAAACTGTTAGTAGACACACTTATTTAGTAATCGTAGTGATTGTATATCACCAACTTGTGACATGCATGTTGTTTAAGTGTGGCGTTCTACTAATAAGTCCTACATTTTTAGTTTTATTAAGACTACTCGGTATATTTTGTAGACATGTAATTAGGATGAACATGACCATGTTCGCTAAATGGTCAAATGTAATTCATTTCATAAGTGGCAATTTGCTAATAATTAGTCACAAAAACAATCAATTTTGGTGATTATTGTGTATCGTATAGATGCATACAATTAAGTGAAACATGATTATAAGTATTATAAAGACACATATTTTTTTAAAATTACGGATTTAATATTAGCTTATGACCATATTTGTAGAATTATCATGACCGATGTTATCATTCATACATATAAAATGCCATAACCATGACTATTTTGTATGATTTCGACATAGAGAATCAATAACAAAATAACTGTAACTGATTTATAGACACAATAGTCATTGTAAGTGTAACCAATATTCAAATTATTACCACAAAAATTAGTTATTAGTATAACCCGTTTTGTCATTTAGGCACGCAAACATTGTTGATTGTACTATTGTTTGTACTACAATCATAGAAATTAATTTAAATTGTAGCCATTAATGTTTTGTTAACACATATAATGTAGCTGAACATGACTATTGTCTTCCATATTCTCACAAATATTATCTAAATGTGACAATACATGAATTTTTAGTCACACAAATATTGAATTTAGTCACATCATTGTATAAGCTGTCGTCACAAAAGTTTTATAAAGACATGATTTTAAAACACTTGTAGACGCATACTTAGTCTAGATTATGGTTATTTTTAACCATTTAGCCACATGTTAAAACTGATGTAAAATGACCATTGTATAATTTTAGAGACATTGAAAAATTTTAAAACATGGCAAAATTTATATGAAAACCATATGATAATTTTGAGGTGTGATTATTGTTTAACATTTAGTGTAGTAACTCAACTTTTATTATTAGTTTTTCAGTATTGTAGACACATCAAAAGAATATAAATAAAATGTAACCAAAACTCGAAAATATGAAACAATATCAAAATTTAGAATTCGATATTATTAATAATTAAAATCCAAATCCATACCTATAATTCTTAACTAAAATACCAAAAAATAAAAATTGTACTAATTGCAAGTATTAAACTATAGTAAATAAAGCAAAAACATCATAAACCAAAAACTAGACATAACTAGGCATTCATGTTATTGGTATTTTTTCTTGCCTTCTTAAGAAGGGTATCATATGATATAAATGTTTTTTTTCACCTCTTTGAGTTTTGAAGTTCATGGTCTTGAGGTGGTATTGTATTTGGTACCTAAACCAACAACTTTGAAACAAAAATTAGTACATAAAAAAAATAGTAGAGCAGTTTATGAAGGGAAAAGAGTGTAATACACAAAGAAGTTAATATAAACAAACCTTTGAATCAGATTTCGTAAGGTGTTTTGGCTATGGGACAAAATTTTTATATGTCCGCTCAACTGTTTCGAATTCTCCAACTTCATGGGATAGAAATCAATCTTTTCTTACCAATTCATCAATGGACACTATATAGCAATCATCGTGTACATAAACTCCGTGAATGAATTGTCTTTCAGATGACAAGTGAAAGGCACCATGACTAATGATGTTCCTTTTATCCAGATATGATTGACTACAATTTATTGGATACAATGATGTGGGATATTAGCATCATAAAAAAAAGTTAGAAATGTATATTAAACATGTAAACAAACACTAACCTGGTGAAGTGGATTTTTGGTGAAATTGTCGATATCTCAGGGTTAATAATGGAAATCTTAGACTCGACAGCTTTTCTAGTGGATTTTGTACTTGCCTAAAATAAAGATTTAAGACATATATGGAAAATTAGTATTTAATAGAAAAGAGAAATTAAAAGTAATGAAAATTGTTAAGTAAGCATGTACTCGTGTTGCAGATTTTAGGGAAGGCAATGGTGTATTGAGAGTTGCAGTCACAGACTTAGTTTGAACTATTTTCTTAGTGGCTTTTGCAATTTCCTAAATAATGTAAAGTTCAAAATGAAATAGTAGAAATTTGTACCAAATATATATATATATATATATATATATATATATATATATATATATATATATATATATAACAACGATAATCTTGTGAAGTGATGATATACTGGTGTTAAGGGTTTTGTTTATTCCTTGGTTATGATAGTATTAGGAGTTTTTGTAGTTTCAACAATCTTATAAGTTAAAATACCCTAGCAAATATAATGAAAAATGGACAATATACATATGAAATGCAATTTACAGTAACATTGTCAATTGATGTTGTTTTAAAGATGACTTACAAGTGTTTGAGGCAGATTTAGAAAGTTTGTTCCTTTAGAAATAAGATGAGGTAAAACTAGCTTTAGTGTTTGATATTGTTCATTAACCTTTGTAGTAAAAGAAAACAAAATTTGATTAATTAATTTCGTAAAAAATTGACACAAATCCTAAAAGTTAAAGTAATAAAAGACTTTTGTGAAGTTAGTAGTTTATCCGCCAAGCGTTTAACATTATCATCTTTAAATTCTCCTTCCTTACTTTCACGTCCTTTACACCATATAACTGAATTTGGAGGCATTTCTTATTTTGAAATCACTTTCTTTTCAACCATGGTCAAAAACAAAATTAATTAAATTATAAACAATATAAAGAAAAACCTTGTTAGCTACATTGCTATGAAGTTAGTATAATCAGATCATATAGCTAAATACAGAGCTTACCAACTTCAGTATTAGAGTCATATATCCTCCTCATCTCATCCGATGAAAATAATTTGATTTGTTTCGCGCTTTGATAGTCCTTTGTAATAGAACCTGTCAAAAAAATGAAGGAGTTGTTAAGCATTTTTTCGTAAGTTAATGATAAATAAATGAAGAATTTTTGGAAGAAGATTATAACATTAAACTTTTTAGATTACGAATATGTCACGAATTTGTTCTAGTCATCTTTTTTAGTAATTAGTGCATGATAACGAATAGGGATTTTTGCAAGCTTTTTTGGATTGCCTAGATGTGGCTTGATGTAATAAGCATATAATTTCCTTTTGCAGTTCCGTAGAAGGATACCAAGCCTATTCATCATAAGTTATTTTCGATTTTCATTAACTCTAAGGAACCGCTAAAATGAAAAATGATATTATGTTAGTCAAGAAGGAATTGTAATGCAGATAAACAATATAATATGAGATGCAAATAATAATAGTGAAAAAAGTATTTACTATAATCTCTTTGTATAGTTTCTCCTTCACTTCCGGGGTTACTTTCTTCCAACAACAAGCACTTAATCTCACCTTCTCGTGGACAAGATCTCCCAAATAACTAACAAACAATGTTTTATGATTTCTTATAAACTTACCAAATTGATCAAACTTTATACGTTTTTCTTCTACCACTAGAATTGACATGCTCAGTCTTCATCTTTGGCAATTGAGTCATGCCCCTCTTCTGTTTTGACCTTATAGGAACTAGGTTTTGGATTTCTTCTGCCGAATCTAAATTGTTCTTGTAGTTAATGTCGTTTCCTTCACCATTTTCAGTTTCTGAATCATACACTTGGGTTTCATCATCTTTCTCATATTCCAGATCATACTCAGGCATATCCTCATGTTGTTCGTTATTCACCTCTATGATTCTTCGGTTGACATGAAACATAGGAAACAAGTTTGATTAGTGATGTGTTAAATGAAAAGATATAAGTAACTTATATTACATACAAAATTTTCACAAACGCATTTCATCGAACACTTGGTGTGAAACAAGCACAATAATATGAAGAATGAAAAATTTCGTTTTTGTGTATAATCCCCCAATCAATACAATCAAGAACATTGACATCATACACAAACAATATACTTACAGTAGAATTCGTGCAGAATGCGTGATGAATGTTTGACGATTGATGAACTATAGTATAAGTCAATTGGGATATAATCTAGAGAAAACAATACAATGGTGGAATAAATCAATATCGTTTAAATACTAGGTTATTAGTACGCCCTAAATTGAGGTTTGTTACCAATTTTACTGTAATTTCCTTGATCCGATGGATTCATCTTCAGTGTTTTGGAGGTGAGATAGATGAAGACTTCCCTCCTTGATTTGGAGCTCAAATACAACTGTGTTATGCCTATCTGGTGGTTAGGTTGGCCGATGTAGAAACAATAAATTGATTTTACTTTCTTTTATAAAATCCTTTTTTCATTCATTTTCATTTATTCTCATCATAGCACTGTACTATGAAATTACGTCCTTATAGCCGCAAAAGCAAGATGTTGAATCAACACCAATGATTTCTTTTACAACATTCGTCTCAAATTTCTAATTTTTGCATCAACTCTCGTTGGAAACCCGATCTTCCTTTTTTGTCTTGCTTTTGATCTTTCCCATTCAATGTCTTTTTTATAATATTTAATCTCTTGAATCACATGGTGATCCATAGGATTAAAACATTTTTAAAACGATAAATGTTGCTATTATTTGTAAAAAAAGACAAATATGTTGCTATTACCGAATTAAAAGATAAGTATGTTGCTATTATTGGTTGAGAATATAAGTGTGTTGTTATTATTTGCTATGGAATACCCACACGATTATTCGCAAATCAAACCAAAAATAATACCTTTTTAGGTTAACTAAAATTTTAAAATACATAAAATATTTCAGGTGTTTTAAATATATAAACAAAGTTTGGTTTTTAACCAAATCAAACGGATAGCTTAATTTTGGAAAAGTCTAGAAAAATCAACTAAAACAAAATGAATATTGAAATTTTTTTAACCAGTAACATAACAAAACATAGTCAATTGAAGTGAAGTGTGCTGGTATTTGGTTAAAGAGATAAACATGTTATTGTTGGGTAAAAAGTTAAGTATATTGCTATTATTGGTTAAAATAATAAGTATTTTGCGATTACCGGTTAAAATATAAGAATGTTGCTAATATATATAAAAAGATAAACATGTTGCTAATATTTATAGAAAGATAAGCATTTTTCTAGTTTTTTTAAAAAAAATGTGAATTATGTTAACATCATAGTTACCTAATTTGCTAATTAACCCACAAACTTCGAATTGTTCGCTTTATACCGAATCGGTACAGAGTCGAACCAAATCACTCTTGGGTTGCTTCTCAATTCATTTTTTAGTTTGTTTCAATTGATAATTCCAATCGTCTTGCTACCAATTCAATGTTCCATATGATTTTTATTTTCATAGGAAGTGATTATAAAGGGCGTACCAGATGCCAATTTTTGTCTTAGCTGGAAATTGATGACTCTTGGAAAAAGTCCACTGTACTGAGAATTATTTACCATCTTTCCAAATCCCAATTATACGTTAAAGCTATTATCATGTATAAAACCTACCCGTGTATGATGATTTTTATCATCACTTTTTATTGTACACTTGTATTTTTGTTCAGTTTCTGTTTTTTCTCTGCGATTTCTATATTGTGCTATTATCATGTCCTTTCTAGTGCTCATGTGTTGTTTCATATATTCAGATAAAAAAATTATATTGTTCCTTTTTTTTTTTAATTAAATCTAATGTATTTGTATTTTGAAATTTGGTTTATAAAATCTAAAAACTAAATGTTTTTTGAAAATGATTTTGATTTGGGTACACCGAACTGTACTATATGGTATGACGTACCGTTTCGTACCCAAATAAACCTATACCCCTCCGTATCCAATATGTCCATTTTAGAAAATCGCAAACCTGATCCACGTTCCCATACCAGAGTGATCCGGGAATTAGGTACCCAGCTCACAACCCACTTTTCTTGCTTAATTGTAATTTTTTGCAAACGCTTATTTACTGATACGGAATCCAAGACAAAGTACATTGCTTATTTGTAGTTATGAATGTATAAACACAAACTTAAAACATAAAATAACTTCAAATTCAAATTAATTAATTTTCAAAATATTAAGTAAATGCATACACACCAAACTTAAAAAGACTTCAACATTCGACTCTACTAATGGAATTAAAACAAAAAAAGCACTAAACAAACTTAAAAATAACTTCAACATCCAACTCCAGTGATGTACTCATGTAGTCATGTTTCACTAAATATGTAATCAATAAAATATTGCATCTTTTTTTACCCCAAAATGAAACATTTTCGCTTAATTCATACATGTAAATCACTTTGTTGTGTTAACTAGATCCAAAGACTTTGCGTCACTAAAATTTATATACAAGAAAGGGTTATACTACAATTTTGTCACACCCCAAAACCGATAACGGCGGAATACATTTCGGGGTGGAGGACGTAGTGTACGGTATCATCACAATTGTATAATAGTAAAAGCAAGAAACATACAACCATTTCATTTACATAGTGAGTGTATTTACAAGTATGTTTTGTAATGTTCAACAAACACCAAAAGTAAACAAAAATAAGAGATGGGTCTTGCATGCTCCATCTTCTCTAAAAATGCTGCTGTCGTACCTATCTATCTTTGACCTGAAGATACAAGTTATTTTGAAAAGAATATCAGCATAAAGTTGGTGATTTCATAAGAGTTTAGTGTGAGTTCTTATATAAAAAGCATTAGAACCGATAGTATGAAAGCTGAAATCTACAGTCATAAGTAGTAGTAAAACCTAGAAAATCCTATATTTTCCAGAATTGTATAGTAAGTCAAAACCTTTTAGAAATATGTCATTTTCATCTTTGAAAACCATTTATCGTGGAAGTATAATAGTGACTCACCAATAAGTAAAGCAATATGGTAAGTTATACTTGAAGTAAATAATAGTGGTGCAACTTCCTTTAGTATTAGATACTTGTTTACTTCGGGATATTAACTTTCCCTTTTGTTTAGTATTTTAGTGCGGTTATAGTGTATTTCTTGTATGTTACCAATAGTGTGAGTAATAGCGGACCCCATGACTTTCCCGGTCATGTACAGTGTAGTGGAGTAAAGGCATCCCTGGACCTGTGCGGCTCGGACTGAAATTAACAGTCGAGATGTAATAGCGTCTGCCCCGTATAGATCTATACATATAGTGTCGTCTTTCTATCGGAAAACTTCGGGCGTAGTGCGTAGGCTTGTTTGTTTGAATACTTGATGCAAATTGCTGAAAATCGAAGATTTTATGCTGTCTGCACAGCTGACTCGCCGAGTCCATGAAGGGACTCGACGAGTCTAAGGCAAAACTCATCCAACTCGGCGAGTTGGTTCATGCACTCGACGAGTTGGACCCCCAGACAGCATATCTTCGAGTTTTGGTGCTGGAATTGGTCTAGAATCATTACCTTAAATTGTTTTGGACTCATAAAACCTGTTTTTGATGTGGTAATGATGATGGTGGACCAATTTCAAAGTTATAATCAAAATTTCATTTTTACATGTGTTCATATGATTCTTGAAATTAATGATGTGGATGTTCATGTTCATATGAGTTTTGTTAGATCATAGGAATTATTTGCAAATTGTTTGTTAGTTAATTCTTGATCTTAATGTGTTTTAATGGAATTCTTAATTTGTCCTCAAGTTATGGAATTCCAATACGTTTTCTTTTAAATGTTTTTTAAGAAGTTGTAGGTTACATTTTCTTGAAGATTTTTTCCCATAAATGTTTTATGGACTCCATAAATTGTCCTCAAGTTATGGATTTCCAAGAGACTCTTCATTAAAAGCTTTAAAACACTTAATTGAAACTCATAAGTTATGAATATCCAAAAGTTTATGAATTGTTCAAAACTTGCCCTCAAGTTTTGGAATTTGGAAAAGTTTCACACACTTTAATAAACTTTAATTCCAACACTTAGAATTTTAAAAGTTAAAATTCAACACTTATATTATTTATAACATTAATGGTTAATTATACATATGTACAAGAACAAGTCGTTTTACCGTTAGTAGGCCTCATTCACGAAGTTGGTCTATAAGGTGGGTATAAGGTTGTTGCCTATAAAATGGCGACTTAATGGGTGTCCACTCTCACCCACCGCTTGCTTGACTGGTGGAGGGTCGTTAGCCGAACGGGTAGGACAATGACTTTAAATTCTCATTAAAATTATAATGATTATTATAAAGTAACTAAATATTTTTATTTAATTCCCAATCTTAGTTACTTTAGGAAAAATGTGAATTTGGTGCTAGCCCATGGAATTCACACTTTGTACCTTACCAAGTCGTTGGTGGAGCGTGTGTGGTTAACCGGCACACTAACTTGGACTAGTAAGGACCACGAAGGGTGACTTAATGTTTGTCATAGATCAATGGAGCGTGTGTGGTTAACCGGCACATTGATTAGGTGATAATATTAAGGGTACCAAGTGAATTGGTATGGTTATTCACACCTTGTTTTGTGATCCTCGGCATCCCAGTCACAAAATTTGAGAAGGCACACTCGAGATTGAAACATGCCATTGAAAAGTTCAATGAATCTCAAAAGATCTAGGAATTTCAAATCCAATTAGAACCTAATAAATTATTTCGTTTTTCATGGTGGAAATTGGTGAATCGTCATTCACCTACCTTCGAATATTTTATAGCTTGGATTACGGCATCCCTCTTCCAAATTATAAAATATTGTGTTGGGTCCTAGCCTTAATATTTCATATTGGGTGTTATATTAAGGACTTTGAATCAACTAACTTGATTTTCTCCCATTATAGATGTTTGGTTCAGACAACTA